TCGAACTCCTACTGACGCTTTAGAAGTTGTGGCAACAGTTTTAGCATACTTAAAAATTTCAATCAAGCGTTACGTTGACGTTGTCTCTATGACGATAATTCACACTTTTATTGATAAATTTAGTGACCACGTTGAAGAAAAACTAATGGAAGTTTTTATTCATGATAAAGATGGATCATTCGATGATTTAATTAGGGAAGATGATGGTACGAAGTATCAAAGAGAGAGATTGTTAAATCGTGAAAGGCTTTTAAGAGAGGTGTTGGATAAGCTTGTTAACTTTGGTGTTCATTATAAATAAATTTCATTATAATCTTGTCAATTCGATAGAATACGAAAAAAATTAGTCTTACAGCATAGAAACAGCTTAGATTCTAATCAACTCTTCATTTCTATATTCATAAATATATTTTTACATCTGTATGCCTCTATATAGACACAATTGTCTTATAGCCATTATCATATTTCCTGAATAACCTTCATAAATAAACACAAGTCTTGTTAAAAAACGATTTGCATCCATTTTTTACCTGTAAAACCTGAAATTATTACAACTTTTTCAAACAAATTGAATCTTTTAAGCATAACTTTGCTGTGATTATTCATATTTTTGAAAGGTTATTATTTTATAAATTTGCTTCTTTGGGCTTTTTTAAACACACATTTTATTAACAGATATTGTAAAACCTTTTAGTTGTTGTATTTATCGGTTAAATATGCATTAATTTGTGCCCTCGCACTTTTTATTATTTTTGTTAATGAAAAAAAACCTTTGATTATGTTTGCAAATTGAAATTCTTTTATTGAATGTGTAAGATACAACGTTAAGTATAATAATTGTCAACAAGGATTTAATAAGTAATAAAAAAGCTTGTAATGACTGAAGCAAATCAAATCGAAATTACAGATATGGATTTCTTAAGTGAAAATGTTAATTTTTTAATAGTATCTTCGAACAACATTTTTATTATAAAGCAATGGCTTGTAATTCAGGATAATGAAACTTAGCATGAATACATTTTGGATTCTAAAGCTTTTTCCAGAACAATAGACCGCGATTTAATTTCTTATTTTACTTTTGTAAGTTGTGCAATATTAAAATTAAAAGAGCC